AGAACATTTTCAAAATGTAGACAGTAACGTACGTGTTCTAGAGATCGAGGCTTCTCTACCGGAGATACCGGAACGTACCCTGGTACTATCTAATATGCCGGACCCTACCTCGCCTACTCCACTAACGAGTCTAGGGAGTCGCCTACGCCTACTCCCTAACCCTAACCCGAACCCTAATCCTAACCCTAACCCTAATCCTAACCCTAACCATATCAAATCGTGACCAGGGTACGTTCCGGTATACCGGACCGTACCTAGGGCCAGGGTACGTACCGGCAGTACCCTGGGGGACATAGACCCTATGAGCCACAGTTTGCTTCCAGAAACTGTCGTGGTACACCGAAATCGCGCCGGCTATTAACCCATACCCTGGCGAGGGTCCATGTATTGTAATGATGTAGGCCTATTTATCTTTGGTTCGAGTTTGAACTATTATTAATTGTCCATGTCTACATTACATAAACAATATGTACAACGTCTACAACATGATATTTACCAAGGATGACCCCAACACAAAAAGTATGAAAATAATTTGAATAATTTACAGAGTGGTCATTGTACACAGTACAGTTATCACTGTTAGTGTTAGTGTTGCAGATGGGGTCGTTGTCGTATCAGGTACTAGTACTACAGATATGTACCCGAGGTAGTTTTAGGTTGTTTAGTATTATGTTTATATTTTTATATGAGGTATGTTTAGGGTTAGGGTTAGTGTTAGGGTTAGGGTACACTTCTGTAGTACAAGTCTGGTACACTTTATGTATACATATTATCATATATATGTACCTCGGGTACATATCTGTAGTACCTGATATGACAACGACCCCTTGAGCGTTAGTGTTACAGTCCTTGTGTTTTGGAAAAGACAGGCGAGTGAAAATTCGCACACCTTGGCTCGCCGAGGTGTGTAGTTTGCATCGGAGTGCCCACAGGTCATGAGGCAAACTAGGGGGGTTCGGGGGCATGACCCCCCGGAAAAAATGTGAAAACTAGACTTCATGAAATGCCATTTCCAGCATTTTGGGATAAAAATTATCTCTGCATTTGTACTCTTAATTTTGACATTTTTTAGGTGATTTTTTTTTCATCTAACAAAATATCAGTTCTTGAACATTTGGATAACTTGAATCACACATTTAGTATGTTTAGTCTAAAAGGAACGACACTCAATTTTTCAAAGCAGACTATTAAAACTTTATCTAAAAATACAACCAATCACATTCGTCGTTCTAGAGCGTTTTGCGACTGTCGTTATAAACATGTGAACCGACTTCCGGCAATGTCCGTGATGTTTACATATCATCTTCGAGTTTATATGTTGAATTAATGAAAAATAAAACATGAAAAGAAAAAAGAAAAAAAAAAGGTGTGCGTTTTGATAATGTATAGATGCGCGTTTTTTCGCACTTCTGATCAATTGAGGCGCGCGATGGTGCGCGAGCGCGATCTCGCACCTTAAAACACAAGGTCTGGTGTTATGCTCCGATTACTCTGTTGTCAAAATATATGTGAAACCTCATGGAAACCTGCACATTTTACTGCAGCTCTACCTGTGTAGCCCTTCTCTCCACTCTTGCAGATCAAGGGACAATGCGGGAATACTACATCTAGTACTACTACTACTACTACTACTACTACTACTACTACTACTACTTTTACTCACAATTTCCAATGATAATGTTGCATATACAACTATAATGATTATTGTGATTGGTAATATTTTTATTAATTGCTTCAGCTGCTGGGCACCTCTGCCCGGCTGTGTCACAATGCAGCCAACTTTCCTGTTTCTAAGGGAGTGATGCTACCAGAAGGTACTTTTAAAGGAAAGGTATGTTAATAAAACATGCAGTTAGTTAGTGCAGTTAAAAAATTTGTTGAAAGCCTGGATAAAATGTGTCTACTATCCATGCAATGATGCACTTTCTTGAACAGTTTTTTATGTAAAGATTTTAAAATTTAATAATGAATATAAAATCCTATAAGTGCCTGATTGTACCCATTTATAAATAAATAAATAAATACCTATTTATTAGCTCATCTGACATAGTCAGATGCAGCTTGTAGAATCGCATGATCGTCTGTCCGTCCGTCCGTCCGTGCGAGCGTCCGTCCGTCCGTCCGTCCGTCAACAGTTGGGCACAAATCTAAACGGCTCGACGTACGGTCACGATATTCGGGACGTAGGGGTGGTAATCCGAAAACGAGTTGGGATGTCGAAGCTGGTGGTCAAAGGTCAAAGGTCAAGAGGTAGTAAAAGGCTCTCTAAAACAAGACCAAATCCGCTGTCACTATGATATTGCCTAAGCGGAGATATTGCTGTATAACTTCCCTCCCACAGGCCCTCAGCAGTGGCGACACAGGGGGGGGGGGTGTTTGGGGTGTTAATCACCTCCTTGCCTCTGTCCCAAAACAAGACATTTAAAAAAAGAAACAAGAGAGGAGCAGGAGAAAAGGGAGAGAGAGAGAGAGAGAGAGAAGAGAAGAGAGGCAGAGAGAGAAAGATGAGAGAGAGAGAGAGAGAGAGAGAGAGAGGAGAGAGAGAGAGAGAGAGAGAGAGAGAGAGAGAGAGACAGAGATGTGTGTGTGTGTGTGGGAGAGAAGGAGGGAGAAAGAGGGAAAAAGGAGTAGGGAGAGAGAAAACCAGAAGGGGAAACTAATTATCCTGTTTATTTAAGTTTTAGTATTTGTAAACACCCCTCGGCCGAGCTGTACAGAACAAGGTACCTATAACGGCAGGTAAGAAGTGTGTACAATGAATGAGATTAGAGGAACCCCCCAAAATCGATCTGCCTGCTTTGCTCGCGAATCGCGATGTTCGTAAGCTATAAGTTCTTCGCTGCTGATACTGTATATCCCTATTGGTGTAATTAAAGAAATGGTGTAATTGTGTGCTCGTGTGGCAAAGCTCAATGACAACTCATCGATGATTGTTAAATAAAACAACCAATAAGTAAAATATGATTAATAGGCAGAAAAATGTGCAAGGAAATGCGGTATTTTTAGGCGTTATTTTCATATTTTCTTTTATAGAACGTCGAGGAAGAGGACATCAGCCCCCTTCGAGCACAGTGCCGCGTCCCCGCTCGCGCAGTCCACTAAACACGGCGCGTAAAATGCCCGGGGGATGGGGGAGCATCCCCCCTTGGCTCTTGAAAGGAGGGGGGATTGGGCCCTGTCAAATATCCCCCCGCTGAGATTCAAAAAAGCAGAGAAAAGAAAAGAAAGAAGAAAGGAAGAAGAAGAGGTAAGAGGATCCGATTTACGCGACAGGGTTTATGTCAAGCGTGGGTTTTAGGTGCTACAGTTCAATGAGGCTAGCCACATCAGTCGGTCAGATTCTGTAGATTGGGCAGAATTGGATTGCAACGCAACAGCATATTATGTTCGTAGACTTGAGTTTGTTAGCATCGTGCAGATTTCAGAACATTTCACACAATTTTTACTGCAGTCTACCTCTAAAGCTATCAAACGCAGCTTTTTTATAATATAGCTAAGTGTAGGCCTATGCAGCGTTTGTCACTTGCCAACGGTGCATAGCACGACTTGTAGGTGTAACGTAGTATGGATAGAGTACTTTGGATTCACTAAGACAACACACACAGCACATCACACGCCCCCTCTCTCTCGTATCTCCACCACGCACGCACGCGACAGTTGAGTCACGCACGCACGCAACGGCGCACGCACGAACACAACAGCACAGCAAGCAATCAACGGCAACAGAGCTCTGCTCTCTCGTCTCACACACATCACACGAACGTGGCGGCACGACACACTCTCTCTGTTTCTCTCTTTCTCTCTCTCTCTCTCTCTCGCTCGCGCAGCCGTCATCTCTCTCTCTCGTCTCTGTCTCTCTTCTCTCTCTCTCTCTCAGTCTCTCTCTCTTCAGCTCTCTCTCTCTGCTCTTCGCTCTGCTCTCTCTCTCTGTCTCCTCTTGTAGCATACACAAACACAAACCTGCACCCCGCCTCTCTCGTCTCTCTCACACCACAACACACGACCTCCCGCGCACGCCACGCACCCTCTCTCTCTCTCTCTCTCTCGCTCCTCTCTCTTCTCTCTCTCTCTCTTCTCCTCTCTCTCTCTCTCTCTGCTCTCTCTCTCTCTCTCTCTCTCTCTCTATCTGACACATAGCACACTCCCTACGCAAAAGGTTTACGTAAATTTTAGCTTGATTTAATCGCACCTAAAACGACCTCGCTTGAGTAAATTTACTAAATAACTGCGTTGATTAAATCCGCAACTAAGCAACGTCGATTG